GGGATTGGGAGGGACTGGGAGGGAACTGGAAAGAACTGGGAGGGGATTGGGAGGGACTGGGAACTGATGGGGGGACTGGAAGAGAACTGGGAATGGCCACTGGTAGGGGACTGGGGGTTACTGGGAGGGATTGGCAGTGACTGGAAGAGAACTGGGAGATACTGGTGGCACTGGAAAGAGTCAAGGGGCAGTGGGAATCACCAGGAAAATGTTGGGAACAGAGTGGGGAGGTGCTGGGGGGCACTGGGAAGGTACTGGAAACTGAGGGGAGGCACTGGGAGGGTGCTGGGGGATGGCCGAGGGGTCACTGGTGTGAACTGGGGTCACTGGTTTGTGTCCCACAGGCCAACGGGGATGTGACGGTGTCGGTGCCCGACAGTCTCTACGTGGGGGGTGAGCACAGCGGTCCTGGGGGGATTTTGGGGAAATTTTGGGGGTCCTGGGTGGGGTCAGAGGGAGGTCCTGGGGAGGTTGAGGACGTTGGGGAGGTGTTGATGTTGTTTGGGGGTTCAAGGGAGGCCTTGGGCATGATTTGGGGGGGTCCAGAGGGGGTCCTGGTGGGGTTTTGGGGACCTGGGGATGGTTTTGGGGTCCCAGCCCCTCACTCACTCCTCAATGTTCCCCTCAGATGCTGCCGGACGCCCCGCAAACTGGGCCCCGGGGCGGAAGAAAAAGGATTTCTCCTGCAGTGACCGATTGGTGGGACCCCAAAACCCTCCCCCGGGAACCCCAAATCTCTGGGGCCCCACCCTGTGCCCCTCCCAGTGCCCCCAGTTGACTCCAGTGTTCCCAGTTCGCTCTCAACGCGGGGCTGCGGTTCCTGACTCCTGAGGAAAAGTTTCTAGGCTGGGCCCCGGCGCCCTTTGAGCTGCCGGCCTTCGACCCTGTGAGTGACCACTGACCCTATAAATGATCACTGACCCCATAAATGACCCCCTGAGCCTGTCCCCAACCCTGACCTTTGACCTTTGCCCCCAGCGCCACCTGGACGTCGATCCCCCCTCAGAACCCTCCATGGCCGAACTGGTGTCGGACAAACCCGAGGTGCTGCTGACYGTTGGCTTCCCTGGGGGTGAGTGACCACTGATCTTTGACCCCTACACTGACCACTGACCTGATTGTGATCCCTAAGGGGAAAAAAGGG